TCGCAGAGAAGGCTCGACCCTTGTATAAAGGGTGCAAGGCAGGACAAACGTAGAAATGGACAGTGCAGATAGAGAGTGCCTTTCGAGCCTTGAGAACAGCTATGTTAAAGGCTCCGACTCTGGCGCTTCCTGATCCTACAAAAGAGTTCCATCTGTTTGTAGATGAGAAAAAGAAAATAGCCAAGAGAGTGCTCACACTGGCACTAGGACCTTGGAGGCGCCCAGTGGCGTACCTGTCAAAAAAAAAAAAAAAAAAAGAAACTAGACCTGGTAGCAGAGGGATGGCCGGCTTGTCTGCAAATCATCAAATCATGGCAGCTACTGCCTTACTGGTCAAAGACACCAATAAGCTCACCCTGGGTCAGCATTTGCAGATTACCACGCCTCACGCCATAGAGGGGACCCTGAAGCAGCCGCCAGGGCGAAGGATTACAAATGCGAGGCTGACTCTCTACCAGGGGCTTCTGTTGGACACTCCTCGCTCTGAGTTCCGGACTCCTGCCATCCTGAACCCGGCCACACTCCTGCCGGATCCAGAGCCGGAAACACCTGAACACAGTTGCCTCGAGATCCTGGCGAGACCCAGATGGCCAGGAAAGATCTAACAGACCACCCTCTTCCAAACAGCGACCTGACCTGGTTCACCGATGGGAGCAGCTTTGTCCAGGACCGACACAGGTATGCGGGGGCGGCTATAGTGAATGAGCGGGGCAATCTTATCTGGGCATCACACCTCCCACAGGGGACATCAGCCCAGAAGGCGGAACTGGTGGCATTGACGGAAGCCCTCCGCAGGGCCCAAGGAAAGAGGCTGACGGTATACACCGACAGTCGCTATGCCTTTGGGACAGTACACATACATGGGGCTCTCTATATAGAGAGAGGTTTAATCACGGCAGAGGGCAGAGAAATCAAACATAAGCCTGAAATACTTCAGCTGCTAGAAGCCATTTTGTTGCCAAAAGCAGTGGCAGTAGTCCACATTCCGGGACACCAGAAGGGGGATTCTTTTGAAGCCTGGGGCAACCCGGCTGCAAAAAGGGCTGCAGAGGAACCAGCACTAACAGATGTTCTATGTTTGAGCTTGCCACCTCCTGGGATGGGAAAGATGCCCCCCCAACCGGATTATTCCAGTACGGATATAACCTGGGCCAAAAAAAAAAAAACTGCAGGCAACACAGAGTAAGGACGGTTGGCCCCAAGATGGAGAGCATCGCCTAGTAGTCCCTGAAGCCTTGGGGAACCTCCTGCTAGGACACTTGCACCAGATGACACATCTGGGAAAAAGGAAGATGCTATAATTGCTGGACACTGCACAAATCAGATTCAAATCACAAAGAAAGATAGCAGAAGACATTGTCCGGAACTGCCGTGTCTGCCAGGTTATGCAGCCGGGGAGGATCAGAGGGACCCATGCAGGTACCAGGGAGCGGGGAAGGCAACCAAGATTATTTTGGGAAATAGACTTTACAGAGGTAAGACCCAGGAAATATGGGTACAGATATTTGTTGGTCATGGTAGACACCTTCTCAGGGTGGGTAGAAGCTTTTCCTACTAAAAGAGAGACTGCCTTAATAGTGGCAAAAAAAAATATTAAAAAAAATAATTCCTAGGTACGGACTGCCGGAGAGCATAGGATCTGACAATGGGCCAGCCTTCACAAGTCAGGTCAGTCAAGGGCTAGCCCGATCACTGGGGGCAGATTGGAAGTTACATTGTGCATATAATCCCCAGAGCTCAGGGCAGGAAAAAAAAATAAACAAAACCCTAAAGGAGACCTTAACTAAATTGGTCCTAGAGACTGGCGGGGACTGGGTGACCCTCCTTCCCTTTGCCCTGTTCCGAGCCCGGAACACCCCTTACCATTTGGGCCTAACCCCCTTTGAGATTGTGTATGGTACCCCTCCACCTGTAATCCCTAGGGTGGGCCCTGAGGCTCTCCCAGAACACCCCAAAGAGGTGCTGCAAGCTGTACAAGCTCTGCAAAGTGTTCACAGCCAAGTGTGGCCGGCCCTCCAGGCCATCTACCAGACAGCTGGGCCAGGGAGCGAGAGTATTAAACACTTGTATCACCATCACCAGCCAGGGGGTTGGGTATGGGTGAAACGGCATAACAGTGAAACCCTAGAGCCTAAATGGAAAGGACTCTTTCAAATTATTCTCGTTACCCCCACTGCTCTTAAGGTTGACGGGGTAGCAACCTGGATCCACCACTCCCACGTGAGACCGGCTGGTGAGGACGAGCAGAAGCGACAGCAGGACGAGTAAAGGACGAAGCAGACCTCACAAATCCACTAAGGACCAGGCTGACCCGTGTGACATCTGCAGAGTAAACAAGACTATTGACTCAGATTCTGGTAGAACTGCCAATTGCCCTTCTAGGACTCGGACTGGGACTAGTTACCCCAAAGATTTGGACTAAGCTGCAAAAATGGGGTTTAATATTGTTCTGTGTTTCACATGCAAGTGCATTATAAATGTCCTGCTCTTAGACCAAAAGTTTTGCAGTTATAATTAATAATGAGAACCCACATCTGCCATATAAACTTACATAAAAAATAACTTAGAAACCTATGAGGTATATAATAGCACCTCAAAGGCAGAGCCACTAAACACCTGGTGGCCAATTTATATTTCAACGTAGAAAAAGTCAGTCTCCTAGAAAAGCCGGCACAGACAGTACAATATCCTCGAGAGGCCCTGCTGCTGCCCAATCCCCTGTTCTTAAGTAACTAGACTATAGAAAAAAATGTAAAATAGACCTCTGTAAGCCAAAATAGGTTTTACGCCTGTCTAAAATTCCGGCCCCCTCAGAAAAACCGTGAGTGTGGGAGTATTAGAGGTTATTATTATGCCAAATGGTGATGTGTAATCACAAATGACAGAGAGTAAAAATGGCAGGTACAACCTCTTTTCACTGAAATATCCTATGTCCGACCTTGTACTAGAGATAGGCCTAACCCCCTGCTTAAGCCAATCAGTTTTAAATGAGTCTAAAAAAATACTGCATTATGGTACTAATGTTCCCTAAGGTCATCTATCATCAAGACCCTAGATAAGAGGCTCTTAAGAACCAAGAGAAAGGGGGGAATGTAAGATACTGGGCTATAAGGACAATAGACACCTTCCAGCTTCTGTTTACTGCTTGTTCGCTGACCGCAAGGCATTATGAGTATATTATGGGATGCAGAGGGAAAAGACAAAGAGCAAAAACCTGAGTCTCTCAGCTAGGACCCGGAACAGGTTAGGGCCTATCAGGGGCAGGATGAAGTAAAAATCACTGTGGGGGCGGATGCAAGACCAGTGTGTTGTGGACGGAAAAAATCCAAGCCCTGAAATATTTGAAAGAAGTTTATTCTGAGCCAAATTTGAGGACCATGACCCGGAGCCACTCTCAAGAAGCCTTGAGCAAGTGGGCTCACTGTGGCTGGGTTACAGTTCAGTTTTATACATTTTCAGAGAGACGGGTTACAGGCAAGGTCACAAATCAATACATGAGAGGCATACATTGGTTTGGCCCAAAAAGGTGGGACATCTGGAAGTGGGGGCTTACAGGTTATAGGTGGGTTTAAAGATTCTTTGGCTGGCAATTGGCTGAGAGGGTTAGACTTTATCTAGAAGACCAGAAAGGATATGCTTATTTTAAGTAAGGTTGTGGGCACTCTGGGAGGTCCAGACAGGAGGACATTTTAAATTTACAATAGGCACCTGCTAGGATGTTTTAAGATGCTTTAAATTTAAGAATAGGCGCCTGCTAGGATGCTCAGTTAAGACATTTTAGATTTATGATAGGCATCTGCCAGGATGCTTGAGTTAAGACAGGGGCTTCTTATCTTTTAGGTGATGTTAATGCCATACCAGAATCAGGTCAGGAAGTAAACCACTGCTTCGTTTGGTTAACAAAAGCCGCTTAGTGGGAATTTACGGTTTGTCAGCCTGACCCTGCTGGCCTCTTTACCATTTGCCAGCCTAACCCAGCTGGCCTCCTTAGGAAGGAGTTTTTAGCAAAAAATTAGAATTCAGTCCTCAGTGTAAACAACTAAGTTATAAAAGGGGACTAATACACAAAGGAGGGTCCCTGCCCGGAGAAGAGGTCACTGCCCTGGCACTCTGGGGGCTCGGACCCTAGCTCGAGCTAGACAATAAAACTCCTTTTGGTAATTACAGCCTCGGTGACTCTGTCTCTCTCTCCTGCGGCCCTGCGAATCTCGAATATAACAGTTTATGTTGTCAAGCATGCAGGAACGTCTCAGCATGGAAAAAAATAAACACCAAAATAACGAGTAGTACTAGGAAAAATTGCTTTGCTACTTGTCTGTATTTTTCCCTCATTTCTGCAGTAAGTCTCTACTCCTTAAAGGCTAACTCCCCACCCTGCCCGGCGTCCGCAGGCTCCCTCCACGCCCGCCCAGCGCCAGGAAGGCCAGCCGAGCGCCCTCTGCCCAGCGAGCCCACGGGACAACGGTTCAGAGAGGCGGGACTCGATCCACAGGACAGCGACCCGCAGCAGAGCCAGAGCCCTCGAGCCCATCGCACAGGGTCGCGAGGGCCCGAGAGTGCGCGGGGGACGCACGCGGGCCTAGAGTGGGCGCATGCGCAGTCAGGCGGCGCTGAGCGGGCGGGTCCTAGCGCGCAGAGCGGAGGACTTAGGCAGACTGAAGCGCTGAGCGCACGCGTGGGTCAGGGAGCGCAGGGCGCATGCGCACGCCCGGCGGCTACCGAGTCCGCCATGGCGCCGCCTCAGCGGGCTCGCGTCTTGCGGTGCGGCAGCTGCCGCCTCTTCCAAGCACACCAGGTCAGGCTAGCGCAGGGATAGCGGACGGGATGCGGCGGGGGCGGGAGAGCTTTCTCATGTGGCTGCGGGCTATGCTTGGGGCCCGAATAACCAGGCAGTGGTGGTTTGGGGATAGTCCTTGCCACCCAGTGACGACAGCGTCTCAGTGACGTCCTCCTTCTAGTTACCTGGTAATCTGCTCTGCCGTGAGAAAAGATAGCATCAAACTTATTTTAAATGTTTGTTAAAAAGTCAGGAAGCACTTTGGGAGGCCGAGGCGGGCGGATTGCTCAAGGTCAGGAGTTCGAAACCAGCCTGAGCGAGACCCCGTCTCTACCAAAAATAGAAATAAATTAATTGACCAACTAAAAATATATATACAAAAAATTAGCCAGGCATGGTGGCGCATGCCTGTAGTCCCAGCTACTCGGGAGGCTGAGGCAGCAGGATCGCTGAGCCCCGGAGATTGAGGTTGCTGTGAGCCAGGCTGACGCCACGGCACTCACTCTAGCCTGGGCAACAAAGTGAGACTCTGTCTCAAAAAAAAAAAAAATAAAAAAAAATAAAAAGTCAGGAAGGGGCCAGGCTCAGTTGCTCACGCCTGTGATCCTAGAACTTTGGGAGGTCCGGGTGGGAGGCTCCCTTGAGGACAGGAGTTTGAGGTTGCAGTGAGCTATGATGACTTCCCTGCCTTCTAGCCCGCGACTAGGGAGGGAGACGCTGTGTCAAAAAAAGTCAGGAAGGGCTGGGCTTGGTGGCTTATGCCTGTAATCTTAACACTTTGGGAGGCCCAGGCAGGAAGATTGCTTAAGGTCAGGAGTTCCAGACTACCCTCAGCAAGAGCGAGACCGCCTCTCTACTAAAAGTAGAAAGAAATTAGCCAGACAACTAAAAATAGAAAATAAATGAGTCGGGTGTGGTGGTGCATACCTGTAGTCCCAGCCACTCGAGAGGCTGAGGCAGGAGGAACACTTGAGCCCAGAAGTTTGAGGTGGCTGTGAGCTAGGCTAATGACACAACATAGTAGCCCAGGCAACAAAGGGAGACCAAAAAAAACCAGGAAGGTGTTTAGTATGCCTCTGAAAGCTTGCATTTAATGTTGAGACATTCTAAGGGCTATTTTAGGGGCTCAGAAACTTTTTAACTTTATTTTTTCCGGACTGTTTTAGAAGTTGAAAACAAATGGAAGTCATTTACATATTAAACTTCCTACACGAGCCTAATGACTCATGGTCATTTTCAACCCAGTGAAATGTAACTTAAAACGAAAGAGGAAGTTAAGCCTTTAATAGCAAGTCTGCTGCATGTGAGGCATTTTACATATCTCATTTAATTTCAGCAACCTCTGAATTAGGTATCATTCCCACCTTATAGAGCTGCACATACTGAAATCCAGAGAAATTGAGTGGTTTCTACCATTAATAAATGCCATCAATAAATGGCATAGCCAGGCCTGTATTATTGCAAAGATCCTATTATCTATCTGTCACCAGCTTCCAGAATTAATCTATTACCAGTTACTGCATGTCTTTCCAAACTTTGTAAAAATACATTTCTTACTTGCATACTTGCACAGTATTTTATGGTGTTTTAAGGTAGAAAGTGAGATGTAGAATTGATATGTTGTAGGATATATCCACTTAAATTTTTGTAGATGCTGCTTGTCTTTTGGGTACTCCACAAAAAAACCTGCTGATTTTTGTTTTAGGATCATATTAATCATATTAATTTTTATGAATAAACCTAGACATCTTTGTTGATGGTAAGCATGGTATTTCATTACATTTCATTGGTGTCCCTGGGTAACATTTTCTTTGTGGCTGTTACAAATAGACTGTTTTTGTCCATTATCTAGATTTGCTTTTATAAAAGCTATATATTTTTTTTATTTTTATGTTTTTTAGAGACATGATACCTGTTCTGTCACCCAGGCTAGAGTACAGTGGCATAATCTTAGTTCCCTGTAACCTTGAACTCCTAGGCTCAAGTGATCCTCCCGCCTCAGCCTCCCAGGTAGCTGGGATTACAAGCCCACACCAGTTTGCCAAGCCCAACTAGGGTCCAGCACCCTAATTAAATATTCTTTTCTTTCCTCAAGCTTAAATGCAACCTTTATAATATACTAAATTTTCACACATATGTGTTGGTTTATTTCTGGGCTTTAATCTTTTTATTTTATTTATTTTATTTTTTTATTTTATTAATTTTTTTTGAGACAGAGTCTTGCTTTGTTGCCCAGGCTAGAGTGCGTGCCGTGGCATCAGCCTAGCTCACGGCAACCTCAAACTCTTGGGCTCAAGCAATCCTGCTGCTTCAGCCTCCCGAGTAGCTGGGACTACAGGCATGCACCACCATATTGATGAATAATTCTACATATAATTATGATATTTGGGACTTGGTGGTTGCAACAGCGACATCATCGGTGCATGGGTTCGTGCGTTGCATGAGTCTTAGTAGACATCACTTGTACTATTATCGACAACATTAATACATCTACTGGCAATTGCGGACAATGTTTAGGGCTAGTAACTGTCACCTCAGTGTATGGTTCATATACACGAGGCAGCCATCAGTTTTCTTATTGCCCTTTCTTGCTATCTGTGGAACTAGAATAGTGAAGAGCATCCATGCGAATGCCCTTGCTAGTGTCCTTACAACACCAGACACGAAGCCGACTATTTTCAGCTGACTGAAGATCGAAGCTGGTTGCTCAACATCCCACCAACTGAGCGAAAATAATGGTGGAAACCATATTCTGCGACATAACACCATGTCTAAAAAGCACTGACGAACGGATAGGAACCAGTAACCCCTTAGGGTCAAGAACAATTCTCAACGACAAAATTGAGGTCGATTGGATCAAAATCTCCAGTACTGAGGTTACACCTACTACAACCTGAAGGCCTCGTATTGGAAGGTCGATTCTGCCCACCTGTCTACTTGTTAGCTCCATTAGATCACTGCGACAGGAGTCATTGTAGGAGATCAGAAACAATTTATCGCAAGGCCTAACATACTCACTGGTCGCAGATTCCATGTTATTGAGATTAACACTTTACAACAAATCCATCACACCAATAGTCATCAAGGAGAGCAGCCTCCTCAGTGAAACACTACATCACATACATACGCAAAATCACCACTCTGAACATGCGTACCTTAGCGCAGTCCAATGAATCAGAATTAATCTGTTGAACTAAGTAGCTAACAGAGGGAGAGAGTATAATACCGCCTGCCAAGATTTTGGAAGCACAAGGAAGGCGGCGGTGCGGTGCCTACGCTTGTAATTCTAGCGGTCGTACCCACGAAACAACTCGTATAGCCAAAACGCTTCAGCTGATACTTTTTCAGTTTCCTAGAAACCAGAGTAAAAATGC